CTGCATACGCCACCTTCAATAAACCGGAATAGTTCCATATCGGTGGAACGCTCGGCGTGGCACGAGAGAGGCAGTTGGCACAGGATCGTTCGAAAATAAGAGGAGAAAGCCCAAGGAGACTCGGTACAGTTCTCCTAGCGAGAATGATATATAGATGCAGAGACCCTGGCTCGGACCATGTAAGATTCATTCGTTACGAATCAACCGATAGTTCGGACACCGAGGAGAAAAGAATCACTTAACCGATCGTCGAGGGAGCGGACACATGCGAAATCGAATTCGAGCAAGGGCGGATTCGCGAGAGAAAGAGAGAGAGAGAAGAGTGGATCGACGTCGCAAGGGATAATGGACATCGGAGAAAAACCAGTGGAATCTCGCGAAAGATCGAGTGGACGAGTACCGTGAACGACGCGTGGATTTCGTGCGTGACGGGTGACGGCTGTGAAAAAGGAAGAAAAAATGGTTGAGACTCGAATGGAGGAGATGTGGCTTTGATTTTGTTAACCATCGCTGTGTAGTGGGTGCTAGATATTTTTGAAACGATTCGTAATGAAATGATTCCGAATGAACATTTGATTTGAACAGTTTTCGAAGAAACACAGAAATGACTTTTTTTTTAAAGTTTCAAAATATCTAGTGTCCGCTTTCAGTTGCATCAACGTTAAGGGCACGAACACGGTGGAGAATATTAGGAAGAAAATTAAATTTTTTAATTTAGAAGAATCTAAATACGACACTATAATTGGTAACCTTGTGAAAATCGTGAAAGCTAAATGGAACTAGAGAAAATCGCGAATCAAACGGGATCAAGTTTCGTGAAACTGTAAAAAGAAAAGATCCAATCAGTGGAAGCCTCTTTAATGAAATCAAAGTTCGAAATCAAATTCAACTAAATAAGATTGATCGATGGCGGACGAAAGAAAATTTAACATTGGTAATTTTTTATCAATGTTTTATTCTAAGATTACGTTGTATCTACTTATTCACCCTATGAAATATAACTCTATCTTTGTCTAAAGTTACGCTTTTAAACTTTCTTCTGTATATAAAATATCTATAAATATTATGCAATATTATAAATATTGTAAATATGTAAATAAATATTGTACAATATTGTAAATATATAATATTCATATAATTCAAATATTGTACAATATTGTAAATATATAATATTTATATAATTTAAATATTGTACAATATTGTAAATATTGTACAACACATTCATATACTGAACATTAATGAGCGTTACTTATTTTAAAAAAAATACTGGCAATCAATATATTTCCGTAACTGTTCGTAATCCGAGAATTAATCAAGGGGATGAAGAGGGAGTAGAGTTTAGTCTTTTAGACGAAATTATTGCTGGAAAAATATTATAGTGAAACGAAATGTCTTGTGATATTTGTGGGTTCTTGCGATGGTACACATAGATCGGTCTATGGGATAATGGAACAGGATGGACGGCTATTGATACGCGTTTCAGTGTTCGAGGAATGGATATGCATCGGCTTAGAGACTGTGGAATGTGGAGTATTTAGTCTGGAACTTAGATTGCTTCGTTAGATATATGAACGCAGGTTCTTTTGTTAAATATTATCGTTGTGACAATCAATGGTAGTAACAAAAATTACGATCAAGCAGTAAAGTTAGTGCATACTTGTGTCATTATTAAATGAGCAATAAAAATTTCGGACAAGCAAAATTTTTGAATTTTATCAAAACCATAAAAAGAATTTTTAGAAATTCTTCTTCGATTTCTTCAAATCCTTTTAACTTATTTCTGTATTTTTGTGCACGTTGAATACGAATTTAATTTATTTAGCTTTGAGCTTGTGGAAAACACTGCAAAACATAGCGAAGAGAAGCCATCAATCTCGAAAATTTTAAATAATTACCACCTGAATTTCACAAAGTGACAAATTTTTCGTATCACGACCGTCGCACCGTTAGGAATTAGTAATAACGTCAGTAGCAACTTGAAAATTTTCATTTCAACCTCTTGCGCTGGAAGCGAGAATCTTTTGTCCCAAAATTGCATTATTTTCTCAGTTCTAAGTATATTTAAGTATAAGGCAAAACAAATAATAAATTTATTATTACTTCTCAATAATTTCTAGTGTCGATTCCAGCGATATCATGCCGACGAAAGTTCAGAAAGAAAGCGGCGAGTTATTGTATACGGTTTGGTCACTCGTTATGGTCCGCAATCAGTTGTTAAAGATACATCCAGAAACAACTTGGCCCCGATAATTCACAAAATTCCCTCGTTGTTTCCCGCGATATACACACATATTCAATTACAGCGAACAGAACTGCGAACGCGCCAGAAGATATAACACTTTCCAGAGCACACAACGTGGAGTCTGAAATACATTTCCAGAAGTTTGAAACGCGCGGGCGCGAGCTCAAGACTCGCTGCAAGACAATAATTCCGCGTGCCGGAAGGGGGACAAACGCGACCCCAGCGAAACAGCTAAAGTTCTTAGGACATTTACAGCGGCCGTATAACGTCGAAAGCGTGCGGTCTGCTAAGGTACGTAAACTCCCTCGTTGCTGCTTGGCCCTATCGTTGGAGCCAACTATTCTTGGACGCTCGCGACGCTTAACTGCACACGGTGTCCTTAGTTGAACATTCAAACGACGATTCCACCGGATCGTTAACCGTTGATCGAAAGTTCGAGAGGTGAAAAACGAGAAAAAACGATCGTAAAATTCCGCGTCTGAGATCGGCCGGCAGATTATAATGGGAGAGGGGGAGGGGACGAACAAAATCGCTAATTGTAATTTGTATTCGTCACGCTAGTTACATACGTTCAGATACATTTCCATTCATTTTAACTCAGGTTGATGGTAAAAGAGGTTTCGCGCGTAGATATATCTAGTTTAATCGAATAATCACATTATCGGATAACTACTTATTATTTTGTTCAAATAAATGAAGAAGATTTCGAAAAATTTCATTGTTTCATACCGAAAGTAATGAAACAATAAAATATTTATGGAAGATTAACTTCACTCACATATTGATATGAGAAATTACACTGAAGTGTTTTAATACCGATATGGTTTAAGATACTTGCTACTTTGTTTAAATAAATAAAGAAGATTTCTGCGAAAGTAATATCCGTATGTAACAATGAAAAATATTTATAGAAGATTTTAAATGTTTAATTCTTCTAATATTTAATCGCTTTAATCTCTTGCGCCGGGACGACGTGCCACGCGCGTCGAGAATTTTTTGTTCCAAAATTGCAATATTTTCTCAGTTTTAAGTATATTTAAATAAAACAAATAATAAATTTATTATTTCTCAATAATTTCTACCTAGTGATATCATACCAACGAGTTCAAAAGAAAAAGAAAACGACGAATCACTGTATACGGTTCGGTCATTCGTTATGGTCCGCAATCAGTTGCCAGCGCAAGTGGTTAACAAAGCTCTGAGAAAACAATTATAAATATGCATCACAAAAATTAAAAGATAGGAACGAGAAAAAGAGAAACGAATTAGCGACTCTAATCTAACACTTCTAAACGCCTAATCTCAACCATAAAAGGTTCCCCAAGAAAGGACCACCCTACCTAGTCAGGTAGTCAGATACTCGTAAAAGACAAACGAACCGTGTTTGTCGAGCCTTGAAAAAACTTAGAACACGATCGATCAATCTGTATATGACGGATCGATCGTTCCGCGAATAGATTCCGGTTAACGTAATCGCACGTCGGTACGTTAACCCTGATCCGATGGAATTGCGCAACGAACGATCCACGGATCGGAACAATGCCATGTTTCGAATCACTCCCACGAAGACGATGTGGGAAACACGCGTGTACACGCGTGCTTTCGTTTCTGACATCTGCCGATGGTCTACCATGGACTTTCTTCTTCGAGAATCGATCGATGTAGCGGCCGACAATGCGCCGTTTCGTTTCTTTGTCCTTTTTCCTCCGCCTTGTTGTTCTTTTTCGCTCGTTTCTCCGCCAGCGTCTGATCGCCAGCGATAAACTCCGAACCGTAATGAACGGGCTACGCGAACGAGGAAGTATTACTTCCCTCGTTACAGATCCGCCGCGTTTTAATTAATCCTTCGACGCGCCAGAACGGAGAACGGTTCGCCAGAACGGAACGAAGGTGGTGCCGGAGAGAAATCTTCTTGATGTATTCTTGGTGTTCGTACGTCGACTCCGGGCACGCCCGAATCTTTCGCGATTTTTATGTTACTTGATTCATTTCTGAATCTGACGATGGATCTCATTTAAACTTGGGACAAAGATATTCCGATTTTATTAGGATTTATCAAGAACATAGTGAAACATAGAAGAATATTAACTTTGGATTAAAATTATTAATTTTAGAATTTTTTATTTAATTGAATTTTGCTGTTAATTTCTATCGCGTATCGGAGAATGTAAGATACGAAAAGAGGTTAATTTTTCCATAAATTGTAAAACTGACAACGTAGTCAACCTGTTACGGTTGTAAAGGATGAATTCTAAAATGCTTCATCGTTGAAAATTACTTAATTTCGAATCAGATTTTATTGGAAAATAACCACCATTATCAAAGTTCGATGCATTTTTTTCTTTTTTATTTGTGTCTAACTAATGAATTAAAAATTTCGAACATTTCTCAATCCTGAACATAACTCCAGACGTAATTATCAATTTGAAATTGTTTGAATCAGTTTTCTGGACAAATTTCTCTCTTATAATTTACGTCAAACAGTACGACTTGCAATTTTCAAAATTTCGCTCGGTTCATTCTACAAAAGAACGTGTCAACGCCAATTGAGCTTGCAGCTTGCAACTTGTAAAATTTGGTCCCTGAAACACCCTCACTGACTAAACTGCCTAAATACACATTACTAAACAATATTTAATACTTCAAAAGAATCTTCACTCACGTCCAACATTTTACCTCGACAACAGCTCAAATTTATCATCCGCAGTTCATTTCGAAAACGTCAAATCAAACAAATCCCAAAGAAAACACCACTCACCCGGTTTAATCTGCTGAGGTTTCGCCCCGGTCCACGAGATATCGAGCATTACGAGCAGCAAGACAGCGAGGATTCCTCCCAGGCTACCCAGAGACATCCTGTTCTTCCTACTAGCCGACATCCACCCGCGACAGACGACAGTTTTCCAACGATTTCACTGATGACCCGTTTTTCCAATTATCGATCGATCGAAAGTCAAAAGCCGCGTTGAAAAAAAAAAAAATATATATATATATATATGTCTGTCTATATATAGAGGAACACGTTATCGACTGGACTTTACCGATCGACCTCGAGGTTCACCCGAGGTCGTGGCACCACGACGAGGACGAGGACGAGGACGAGGACGAGGACGTGGACGAGAGATAAGCGTGCAACTCTCGCAAGGAGGAGAGAGAACTGCGGCCTCCGTAGAGCGGCTACGAGAGACCAGGCGAGGATCGAGTGAGTGAGGATGGACTGACAGGCGTGCGGGCGTACGCACGAGTCAATGAAGTGAGTGGTACTCACCCGTAGGAGCCCTCACCTTACCCAACCGAGACCTCGTCCCCTCGCCTCCTCTCTCGCACGCATCTCCCTTTTACCTTGGCTCCCTTCTTTCCTCTACATTTCTTCTTCCTCTGCTTCTTCAACTTCTTCATCTTCTTCTTCTTTCTCTTCCATCTTTGCCGAGGATGCTTCTTCGCTCCTCTCGGACCACGCTGGTCTCTCTCCTCTTCCTCTTTATCCCAGCCGCACATATATCCCGACCAACGATTCGCCGTTTCTTCGTTTCTCATCTCCTCTCCGCCTCCTTAATCCTTTTCTCTCTTCTTCCCAGTTGGCCACTTCTGCGAGTACGCGGGTCGGTTTTTTGCTCGAGTGCAGACGATATATATCGAACTAGGACCACTAATGAATCCTTCTCGTGTCTCTCGCGTCTTTGGCAAAATTCGAACGGTTCGATCGAAATTTAATTGTTTATGACACGCGTGCGTTTTAATAGTGATTCTTGTGCTACTACGTAGGGTAATTTATACACGGATATAAATTAAAATTGTATTTTTGAAATTTATTATTAAGCTGTTTTCCAATCATTTGTGATTCACTGTGTGTGGGCGTTATACTTAACAATAGTGATTCTTATGTTACTACGTAGGATAATTTATATATATTTATATATTTATAATTTATATATATATATATAAATTAAAATTGTATTTTGAAATTTATTATTATGTTGTTCTCCAATCATTTGTGATTCACTGTCAGGGGCTGAGCGTGAATTTTTTGAATCATTATGGCCATTCCGTAAGCGAGTAACTTGGTAACTAACTAACAACAAAGTTTCCTATATTTTTTTTATAATTCTTCGTCCTCTTCTATCAAGTTCTCTATTTCGATTATATAAAATTCCCATAACAATTTTTCTTCCACTTACGGATCGATCAGGTGTTTTTTTTAAATCTCGTGTGACTTGAGATTCGAATGACTTGGAATTGAATGGAACACTTCAAGCCTAGCGAACAACAGGTTCACCGGTAAATTGCCTTCAAATTGCTTGTATCTAGACAGCTTGATCAATATGCTCGCTATCATAGTGGATTAGAGAGCAAGACGTCCACCGCAAATTGGTTTGATACGGTATGTTTAGTAATCCAAAATATTTCTGTCACTTTCAAACAATAATTGTCGCAGAATTCGTGAATCTTTTTAATCAAGCATACAATTTGCATATTTGCTATTATAATTCTAGTGAGAATGATTATTAATTTTTGTGAGATTCTCAATTTATCATATACACGTCTTCTTAATTTTTATCCACGGATTAATTAACATCCATGAAAAAACCTTCTTTTTCTATTTTAAATGTACGTAGACCTCCGTGACTGACAGCTGTATCTTTATTCGAAGATAATATGACGTTAATGGCGAACGTGTTACTCCGAACGAAGTGCTTTATTGCACTTCATTCTCTTTGATACGTAATTCAGGATGTAGTTAACTCGTTTTGCTCCCTCTTCTTCATCAGGCTTCATTTTAGATCAACTTTGCACCTTGTTTTCAACCACGTACTCATCCTCGAGCCTAATCAATCTGTGTATGTCCTTGAGTTTATTAGGAGAAAGTTGTAATTTTTCACCGAGAAATATTTGAAAAATAAAATTAACGAAACAGAGAGAAAGAGAGAGTGTGTGTGTGTTTGACTCTCCTAACACGTTCTGTATCATATCGTAACTATCGTTGATCCACGATTGTTGCCGGAAGTTGCAACTCTATTAGACGAGCAAATTCTAGGAATTTAATGCGAGTTAAATTGCCGTTTTTCCCTAATTAACCACTCTAATCTAGCTACTTCCCTACCTAGATCCACGAGTTCTGATAAAATATTTCCTCCTTCTTTAAAAAATACATTAAACCGAGATATTAATCGAGTACGTTCTCGAATTTTTTGCATTTCAGTTCACGAAAATCATTCGTTATTAGCGGATGGTTTCTTCGTTCACAATTTTCCCCACGTCGATTTAATTTGGGAATCGAAAATGATTACTTTGTTATCCAATTATTTAAGTTCCGTGAAATATTTCAACATGAAAATCATCTTATGAATCATGGATTGACCAGTTACGTTTCTTTCAGAACATTATACATTTAATTAAATGCTTCCTCCGTGGTTTCCTTATTGCACATTTGCCCAAGAATCATCATTTTCCAGAACTCCAAAATCACTGATGACTACGTTCATAATTTCTTCGCTCGTATTATATGTTTTTCTTTTTTTTTTTTTTTTTTTTTTTCTGAAGCAGTTCACAACTAAAAGATCATTCTTCCCGATATCTTCTTCTAATTGAAATTCTGAGAAGAAATTCATACGAACATTATAATTATCACAATCAACAATGAACGTCATATTGACTGATCGTAACAACATTGTATCCTTAATAATGAACATTATGTATCTTTTTAACATTTAACATATGCATTAAATATCCTTTCGTAAGTTCTGGACAACGCAACTGCAGCGTAATGATATCAATCTCGAAGAAACGAAATTTTCAATTAAGCACCGATCCTCAATATACCCTGCTCAATTTCCTCCATCGATAAGCAAGCATCGTTGCCGAATTTATTTTGTTCCTTCTCTCCCGGATATGATACACTTGCTCATCTCTTTTGTTCACCTCCGAACCTTTTCTTTTTCTTATCATCCTTGGCTCCCTTCCTCCTCGTCCAGCGAACATTCAAACGCACTCCGTCCTCATCCGCACGATCAAGCATCCTCCGCCTCTCATTACGGTACCCTCGCCCTCCTCTTCCTGCTTCTTTTCGTTTTTCTTTCCTCCCCCGCCTCTACTTCTCCGACCTGTGTCCATCCTCTTCTTATCCGCGTATCCACCTCCGCGTACAATGATCTCTCCCCGTCCCCTTTGCAAACAGATACGCACTTCTAAGTGCCAACGATGCGTGCTCAACAAGTTCGCCCTACGACTTGAAAGAAATTGAATTTTCAGGAAAAAAGTGTCGAAAAAATTGGAAATTCGTTAATAAGTTATCCAGATTTCTGAGTGACAGTGGCGTGTACTCGAGAGAAATTAGGTCTCTCCCTAAAGTTCCAAATTTTTCAGGAATTCGAACAAATTCTAAGGAAGATAATTTATAATATCAAAATATTTTATATTTATGCCAAAATCGGCGACTGACGCTTCGGCATGTGAATGAAATTGGCTTTTCTGAATTTCAGAAATTTCGTTGACAAATTTATGGACTTTTAATTGCAAATGCGACGAATTGAGGAAATTGACTTCTCAGAAAGCTTTTAAATTTCGGAAATTCTAATTCGGAAAGCGTCCAAATCTCGGTTCAGATTGAAAAATCAGACTTTTGTTATTTTGTTCGATCTTCAGCGAGTTCTGTTCTGTAGCTTGAATTATTTTTTATTTCTTTTATTTTGTTCCGTTCCATTTTCATTGGTTCGTAAATTAACAATAATGGAATTTCTAATTTCTGATATTTTTGTTAATTAAGCTCCACCAGTGATAGTAATTTGTGTAGATTTGTAATAATTATAGTAATTTTAAATTACTATAAATACCTTAGAGCACAATTGTGGCCATTTAATTCTGAGCTTTCTATTATCAAATTTAACAAAATATTTGTGGTAAATCACACTGACGAGAATTTATTTCGAAATTATCTCTATATTTTTTAAAATAAACAAAATATATCTGCCAATTCACAGCGATATATATATATATAGTATAATATGAAATCCTTTGATATTCTTCGATTCCAAAATTACAAAAACTTCCGATCATAGCGTATATTTGTATGTATATTTATTCGTATCCAGGGGAGGTTTAAATTTTTAAAATTTTTAAATTAGCAATTTCCGCTAATTTATTCATAGCGATGAAATACGATACGAAGCTCTTTCAGGATTGGAAGAAAGAGCTCTGGCCGCAATGTATGCGCATACACTAGATTTATATCACGGGATAAAATATCGCGCGACGATTGTACAATGCTTTCTCACTGTCCTGTTTTTAATTGGTGAAACAAACAACATCTTCATTATTTTATTACAACCTCTTAAACTTGATTCATTGCTTTGAGATGTGAATAGATATTCGTTGTCTCTTTTCCACTGGCTCCCTTTCTCTCTCTCTCTCTCTCTCTGGTTTTGCTTCTTTTTTAATTCATTCCTCTCGACCGCGACTATCGGTGTACTGGGAAACATCTGAAAAGATGAGTTTCGCCCGGTGTCCCCATCCTATGCAAACATCCCGGTTATTTGTACGGTATTTCCGCATCTCAATGGAGAACGTTATTCCGTTTCGAAATCATTTTACTTGGTAATACGATTTTCTATTTACTCTGTTTTCTTTCGTGTATGAAATTGCGCATGAAATTTCATGCTCCCAGCGAGCGTATCTCGCAGCCTTCCTCTTTCGTATATCCTTCCTTTCAGAGGTATTATAAAAAGTTGCCGTCGGATAATTAATTCGGATACGTTTGCTATTTATAAGCGTCACAGAAATTATTCTCAAACGATTAGTTTAAACGTGGCGGAAGTGCACGAGTGTGTATTAAATTTCAATTAAAATGATAATGAAACTAACTCGCAAGTCGAAGCATACCTACTGATTCAGCCAATTACATAATTTCTTGCTTTAATCTTTTATATTTTAATTTCGTACCAGTGTACCTACATATCGATGTTTCAATGCTCATAAAGTTAATGATTAAAGTCAAATGTTAACTATAACTCGATCAGTGTGCGATTACACTGATCTGTGAAAATAAGAATTAACAGTTCTTTGTTAATTGTGACACGGAAATTTAATTGAAACTGTCAATCTGTAGAAATTAGAGATAACACTTGGCAGCTAATGCGTAGAGTCAAAAAATTCAGAGTCATTTTAAATCAATTTTTGAATAAAAAGAACTGTCATAATAATATGAACTATAACGAGAAATATAAATTAACAAATAATAACGAAAGATTGTCG